TGTAGATCCACTTGGGAGGCAGCGGATGGCAACTGAAGTAGCAGATAAGCAGGATGAGTAGAGATTCTCAAAAAGGAAAGACACCGACCATGCTCCTGAAGTCCTCAGGTTCCAGGATACTTCAAGAGCCATCATTGGTCCTAGTTCTCTTTCTCTAACAGCAAAACAGGCCTCCTCCATGTTGGAGGCCTCAGGGAAACCTTTCCCTTACATCAGCCTTTGTCCACCCCCAGGCCTTAGACCTAGCCTGGGGGGCAGGCTGAACAGCACCCAGCCGTAATCTATGGCTGGTCCTGGCTAGTCTGAGCACAAAGCAAATCCCTCCAATATATGTACCCTATCCCATCATGCACCACTGGCTGAGAGAAACCCAGTGATTGGCTGTTGTACATACACTACAGTGCCTCTCATTGGCAGTCCCACAATATGACAGAGTCACACTCCGCCCAGGGGGGTACAGACAATGCCAGGCACCTAGAATTAACCAGATAACTGCCACTATAAATCCAGCCGGGCCGACTACAGCCCCGGCTATCACTAAATGTCTAGTAGCCACATCACAGAGGGTAATGGGGGCTACACTATAAAGTCACAATCTGTCCTTCTACAAGAAACTTCTGTTGTATGTCTGTTGCCAAGCTTGTCTCTGACTGAGCGCACGTTCCTGACACCATCCATCTGACCCTGTTTATGTATGTCGCAGTGTAAGGTCCTAGAGCAGCGACTGGAACAAGGTATGGTCTTCACGGAGTATGAACAGACCCTGAAGAAGAGACTTCCCGACACAGAGTGCTCCATAGCGCGGCTCCCTGAGAATGCCGAGCGGAACCGGTTCCAGGATGTCCTTCCCTACGATGACACTCGGGTTGAACTGGTCCCAACTAAAGAAAATAACACCGGTTATATCAATGCCTCTCATATAAAGGTGAGGCCGCCTCATCTCGTCACAAAGACCATGCGTCACCTGACAACTACCTGGGGTGTCCCTGTGTCATCTGCCAACTCCTTCAGTCCCTGTGTCCTTTGCCACCTCCTTGGGTCCCCGTGTCATCTGCCACCTCCTTGGGTCCCCGTGTCATCTGCCACCTCCTTGGGTCCCTGGGTCCTCTACCACTTCCTTGGGTCCCCGTGTCATCTGCCACCTCCTTGGGTCTCCGTGTCATCTGCCCCCTCCTTGGGTCTCCGTGTCATCTGCCACCTCCTTGGGTCCCTGTGTCATCTGCCACCTCCTTGGGTCCCCGTGTCATCTGCCACCTCCTTGGGTCCCTGGGTCCTCTACCACTTCCTTGGGTCCCCGTGTCATCTGCCACCTCCTTGGGTCTCCGTGTCATCTGCCACCTCCTTGTGTCTCCGTGTCATCTGCCACCTCCTTGGGTCCCCGTGTCATCTGCCACCTCCTTGGGTCCCCGTGTCTTCTGCCACCTCCTTGTGTCCCCGGGTCCTCTACCACCTCCTTGGGTCCCTGTGTCATCTGCCACCTTCTTGGGTCCCTGTGTCATCTGCCACCTTCTTGGGTCCCTGTGTCATCTGCCACCTCTCCGGGGTACCCGTGTCATCTGCCACCTCTCCGGGGTACCCGTGTCATCTGCCACCTCTCCGGGGTACCCGTGTCATCTGCCACCTCTCCGGGGTAGAGATGAATGTGATCGGCTACATGTGATTTGTGTGTTCATTCTGCAGGTGGCAGTTGGCGGTGTGGAGTGGGATTACATCGCTACCCAGGGACCTCTGCAGAATACGTGTCAGGATTTTTGGCAGATGGTCTGGGAGCAGGGGGTGGCCATCATTGCCATGGTAACACTGGAAGAGGTAATGCGTGCCAATTTTACTTTACTTTATAAAACATAAAAGATTTTCCTGAGTCTCTCGGAGAAGGCCGATTTCATTGTGGAATATAGAGAATTATAGCCGAGAACTAAAGAAATATGAAATGATCGCGGTATGTCCTGTATACTGCCAGTCACTCCATTAATATCCATTTAAAGGAATCCGCGTTTTATGTGAGCAGCTTTTTTAGTGGAGCCACTGAACTCATTTCCTTAAAGGAGAACTATGAGGCGAGTGAAAATCACTCCTCATAGTTCTAGCCGACCTGTGACAATGAGACTGTCACAGGTCGGCTCAGTAGATCGGGAGGTGAGCGAACACATAGCGGCGCTCGCTCACTTCTCGATCATGTCCCTGCAGAGATCGGTGATTGTCAGTCACCGCTCTCTGCAGAGATTCCTCCCCTCTCCGATCCTCCAGCGTTGAGTGGAGGAATGGACGGGGGAAGGGGCGGGCACAGCTGGCCCTGCCTCTAGATTGGCAGAGCCAGCTGTCACTCACGCACAGTGGCGTCACAAGGGGGGTGCGGGGGTGCGGCCTGCACCCGGGTGCCACCATTGGAGGGGTGACACCAAAATGACTCACAGTCATTTTGGTGTCACCCCCCTCTGAAAAGTCGGGCGCTTGGTCATGGACCGAACGCCCGACAGTATCAGGAGAGAGGAGGGGACCCGGCGGCATACCTTATCCTGCCGGGTGACTGTCCCCTCCTCTCTCTGCCGGCGTCCATCACCAAGATGGCCTGCCGGCAGGTATCAGCATACTGACGCGCGTGCACGATGACTGTAGCTCGCGGTATACTGAGCTTTGGGTGACGGGAGGACGCTAGTTTGTGTCCTCCCGTTGGCCTTAGGAGAACTATGGGGAAAAGCCCCGACCCCATACTTCTCCTTTAACTCCTTATGACTAAATTGTTGGCGGCTCAGCCCTGCTTGGATAATCCTCTTTAAGTCTCCATTTGTCAGTCCAGTCCATGTCTTCATTCAACAGTACCAAGCCTTGATGAAGGGGGAACCCTTTGATTCCCTTGGAACATTTTGGCATTTTATGACTAGGAATATGAGTCTGAATGAAATGAAATATACAGTCTATGTCCTTCCTTTGGATCCTAAAATCCTTACAGAGGTTATAAGACACACACCACACACACACACACACACACACACACACACACACACACCACACACACACCACACACACTGTAAGGTTGAGGGTCATCAAGCGACTATTATTTGTGGTCAGATTTTCTGTATTTGCCATTCTTGGTAAATGTATTGCAGTGATTGCGCTGGCCTCCAACAATGGCCTCCAACAATGGCCTCCACATCTATTGCTGGAGAGTTCAGTTCCTTCCATGTCCATTATAATCATGCAGTCAACAACTCAACCTAGAGAGTCATGAAGTACCTTCAGGTCATGAGTTGGCCATCCATCACCGTCCAGTATATTCCCAATAAACCCCTCTTCTGTTTCCACCCCAGGAGGGAGGCCGGGAGAAGAGTTACCGATACTGGCCGAGGCTTGGGTCGCGCCACAACACCGTCACCTACGGGAGGTTCAAGATCACCACGCGCTTCCGCACCGACTCCGGCTGTTACGCCACCACCGGCCTGAAGATAAAACACCTGCTGACCGGGCAGGAGAGGACCGTGTGGCACCTGCAGTACACAGACTGGCCGGAACTCGGGCACCCCGAGGACCTGAAGGGCTTTCTCTGTAAGCTTCATACATTGCGGCTTCTTATTAGAAGGATGTTCCACCTTCAGGTGTCTGAGATGCCGTGCGCACGCTGTCCTACAGCCCCTGCCGAATCTGAATTCCTTCTAGATACCCCCTGTGCTTATTCAGCCAAGTCCTTCTGTCCTCCATCTGGAGATTTTTTTTTTCTCTTGTTGTTTTATATCTGTTTACTTAAATATATAGCAGTAGCGGCACACAATGAACCTGGGTGCAACTCATGATTAACTTTTCACACAAGATTCACCCAACATTCGACCAGAAATCACACATTTTTCCTACTGAAGTCAGTTCCGAAAATGCGTGCGTGAAAACTGTGTGAATCTTGGTTGAAAAAATTTACGTTACATTAGCAGACCCCCCAAACATGATATTTTAGTGAAAGCTACTTATGAAAGTCATCTCTGTATTCAATTCACAATGTTAATTTAACGTGTGGATTCCCAGAGCACTATGGGTTAGCTGTAAATGTTTGTTGAAATTAAACCACTTACAGAATAAGCTACATTTTGATGCATTATACAATATCTTATTATTATTTGTTATTATATGTCATATA